CAGATCATCTTAACAAACAGCATAATTGTAATGTTGTCTTAAATCATAAACGTAAGCTTTTGACTACCAAATCATATGGTAAAAATGAAGCCCAACGAATAGAAGAATATACTGTGTCTTTATTAAAATTTGTTATTGGTGTTCAAGCTCCATTCACAATGGTTGAAAGCCCTTGGTTTTATGAAATGATGAGTACACTTGATCCACATTATGTTTCACCAACACGTACCTATATAAAGGAACAAATTATGTCTCAGTTTCAAGCTCAAAGAGTGCTTATTGCAGAAAAACTTAACAATTTTAATTATAAAATTGCACTTACTGCAGATATTTGGACCTCATATTCAAATCAATCATACCTTGGAGTAACTGCGCATCTTATCGATGATAAATGGGAAATGAAACGATTTTTGCTTGACCTTATTCATTTCGAATTCAACTATACTAGTGTGCGCATAAAGGAAAAACTTAATCAACTCTGCAATGATATGAATATTAATGATAAAATTATTTCATTAATGACGGATAATCATTCCACAATGATTTTGTGTGGAGATCTATTAGAAAGAGAGTGGAATGAATTTGGGTTTAAATATTATAGGTTAGTATATATATATATTATCATTATTATTTTTTTATTTTATTTCTTTTTATTTTTTTTTTTATTTTTTTTTTTTTAACACGCATTTTTAATTTTTTATGATACTATTATAGATGTGCGGCCCATATTCTCAATATTGCTGTTGGTCACGGAATGCAACTACAAACAGAATTAATAGAAAAAGTTAGAAGTTTTATAGTTAAAGTTCATCATTCTATTATTTTATGTGATGATCTTTGGTATTTTTGCGCAATGAATAAAAAGCAATATATTATACCAAAAATTTATGTATCCACTCGATGAAACAGCACTTATGATATGTTAAATCAATTCAAATTAATGCATGCTGAGCTTGATCTTCTTGTAACTAAGCACCAACCTGAATATATGTTTCTCGATAAGGATGAGTGAAAAAATATTGATGTTATTATTAGTCTTCTTTATCCTATACTTCAAGCAACTGAGCTACCTTCATCTAGTTTTTACCCAACAATGTCTGATGTTCGTTTGTGCTTTGGAGGAATTCTTCAACATCTTGATAAATTTATTAATGAAAAAACACATTCAGAAGAAGAATGTATGATTGCTGATTCTATACAACATAAATTAAGTGAATATTGGGTACTTCTTGACGAATCTATTACTATCACAGCAATTCTTGATCCATCTTCAAAACTTACAACATTTGCTTATGGTGAAAGAAGAGATAAAGCCATTGCAAGTTTGCACAATTTAATGGTTCAATATATGCCACAAAATTCTGCAGCAATACTACTATTTCTGATTCCAAAAATAAAAAAAGAGAGCTATTTAAATTTTTATTAGATCAGCAAATAGAAGAACCACTAGAAGAATTAGATCTGTACTTATCTTCACCTCTGTGTTCTGAAGATCTTCTTAACTGGTGGGCATTAAATGGATGTTGGTTTCTAACTTTAGCAAAAATAGCTCGTAATTATCTAACTATTCAAGGAACTAGTGTTCCTTGTGAAGAGGTGTTCTCTGTTGCAGCAGGAATGATAACAAAAATTAGAAATCGTCTTCTTCCTGAAACAGCTCGTGCTTTGCTTTGTATGAAAAGCTGGATGGAACAAAACATTTTTGATATAGTTTAGTAAACTTATACATAAGAACGTTATATTGCTTAGCAGTTAAATAAGAATATTATATTTGCATATATATTTTGCTTAAATAAATTTTTTTATCGCATTCAAAAAATTGCTGCAGTATTGCATATTTGTATAACATTTATATATATGCATTTAGAATAGGGTCACTGACTATCTGCTTTTGATTTATGTAATAAAATTTTTAGCGACAAATTATGCAATTTATGCGAATCGAATAAAAATATGTGACTATATAACGTAAAAACATTCTTTTTACCTGCTTATCCCATTTTTATTGACCCATCAACCCTAAAAAAAAGTCAGTTTTAACTTATAGTACGATATTATCAGTCTTGTTATCAGCAAACCGATTTGTTACAAGTCTGACTATTATAAAAACTATATTTGTAACCTAATTGAACTAACCAAATATGGATTTGTTGTGAACTGTCTTCAGAGCCGTTAACGGCTTATCCGATGCCGGTTTTAGCTGCAATTGAACCGGTAAAGTCATAGCTCCAGTTTAAATCATAGTTATGGAAGCCACAACTTGTGTCATGGCTAGACAATGACAATGGCTCAAGTTATGGTAGATAATACTGCACCACTGCTGTACCAATATAATACTGCAGTAGCATTAAAATATTATTACGTAGCTACAATAATAATTATTTTAAAGCAATAGTATTTAAAGAAGCCATAAAAAGCATTAACAGCTCTAAAAATCTTTAGTAGCCTGAAAATTGGTTTACAAAACTCTTCTTATTTAATCAATTAAATATAATCAATCAATATATTAATTAATTCTCGGTTAAATTTTTAATCGTTTAGATTTATAATTCTCTCAAGCACATAATTAATAGGTCGAAACTCAATTTCTAAATTGTGGAAAATTTAACCGATAAATAGGCTCATTATCTCGATTAAAAAAAAAAGGTTGAAACCACCTTAGACCTTTTCCGATTAGCTAAAATTTATTATCCGCATTTTGCGATATGAAACTTAGCAAAATTATAATAAGGATCGCTTCGATTAACTGTAGTACATTGAGAGCACCCTTAGTTTCTAAGTTTAGTGATTATTTATTGGTTTAATCGATCTAATTATTTAATATGAACTATTTACCTCTCATTTGACTTCTTATCCACATTAATCTCCATAATTATCATCTTCCAAGAACAAGCCGAATAAGCAGAAAAAGCAGAATTATTATTAGTTATATAACTATAATAATTACCAATAATTATTAACAATCTTCTCGATTGTAATTGGTTAACGTTAAACGGATTATGCAGAAATGGCCGAAAAAAAAAGCAGTAATTCAACGGCTTAAAAAAGCAGATTTCTGGACACTCTAATATGGCCAGATATGTACGATAAAGGGTACAAAATACCCTATTTTTAAAATATCTATTCCGGCGTTATGTATTATTAGGGTTACGTTGGAAAATTAGTATACTGGTAATATGTTTTTTAAAGAGGTATTTTACACTTTATACTATATACATTTTTTATAGTGTTTCATATCAATATAGTTATGATGAATTTAGTTATAAACCCGATATTTATTTATCTGAATTCAAAACTATATATAACATTTGCAACTACTTATTTCATTTATGGAGAATATATACATATATAATATTAAATAATTACATTAGGCAATCAAATTATGAACACTTATCATTATAAGGAAAATGCATGTGAAATGCACTTATAGAGTGCGCATATGGAGTATCGACATATCTATCGCGTTAATTCGGGACGCTCATGAGCGCTAATTCGAGACCATATTATTTTTAAGTATCTGCTTTTCAAAATAACGCCCATAAACTTATTTCGCGACTATACGTAAGTATATTTAATTAACTGCTTAATTTGGAACCTGATCTAATTATGCACTAATCATAGCATCATTTCAGAAACCAAGCGTAACGATAAAAAGAATATTCAATTATGGAGAATAACCTACATATAATATTAAATAATTACATTTGGCCGACCGATCAAATTATGAGCACTTATCATTATAGGGTAAGTGCATGTGAAATGCACTTATTGTAGTGACTTGAATCGGTTGAGCTATAATCGGGTAAACTCGAACCGAATAAATTTCGAGTAACCGGATGAGGAAATTCTTAATCGGTTGACCCGGTACAACCGGTTGGCGGGATCAATATGTATGAAAATGACAAAATGACGTAAGAAGAGAGTAAAGGATCCGGAAAGTTTTAAGAATTTCCGATTGTAGTATAGATACTAGTCTTAGGAAAAAACTAATTGTACAGTTATTTTGTAAATCCGTGTAGCATGCTAATCAAAATTTTTAAAACCGAAAAATTAAACCCTTGCTTATAGCTAGGGTAAGGGTGAGGATTGGGATTGGGGCGAGTGTTAGTTTATACCAAATTTTTCCAAGAATTTTTTTTTTTTGTTGGAAGCCAAAAGGTGGTCTCATAATTGTAATTTTGGGAAACAACAATACCCACACTAGTGTACAAATAGTAATTACCTTATTCTTATCTGGCTGGCAACCGGTTGAATGAAATAATTTGGTTCGGTTAACTGATTACAGCTATTATCATAATTTCTGAAACACCTGCTCATTACCCGAAATCTTTTTGGTCGTTGGTAAATTGCCTAACTCTCCGGAAACTACATCGCTATCTTCGGACCTTCAGTCTGGAGGCAGTGATGTAATTTCCGGAGAGTTAGGTAATTTAGCGAACGACCAAAAAGATTTCGGGTAATGAGCAGGTGTCCCAGAAATTATGATAATAGCTGTAAGGAAATTTTTTTCGGTCAAATCACTTATAGAGTGCGCATATGAGTATCGACTGTATGTTTATCGCAACAATAAATTATGTGTTAAATTAGGATGTACGTTAATTCAGGAGCTCATGAGCGCTAATTTGAGGCCATATATGTTATTTTTGAAGCACCTGATTTTAAAATAATGCCTACGAGCGTTATTTCGCACTTACACGGTAAGCATATTGTTTAATTTGGAGCTTGGTTTAATTGCACCTGGAAAATGTGTACAGGTGGGATCTAATAATCGTCCGGAAAGCTAGATCGGAACGGTATGAACAGTCAGAACTAGGAACAAAAAGGGTGGTGCTCATTTCACCGACAATCATTTCGTTGACACCTCGTTTCACTGACAATCAATTCACCGACAAGTTCATTCCACCGACAATCATTTCACCGACAACCGACTTGTTTAATTCGCCGACTTGTTTAGTTCACCGACAATTGATTCACAGACAATCATTACACCGACAAGCTTATTTCATCGAAAATACGTTTCACCGACAAGTTTAATTGATTAACTCTGTTATTGCTCATTTTTCTGGTGGTCATTTCTCATTTAAATGACACCATATAGGGTTAGGTTAGCATTTTTATTAATTTTAGGTATATATCACAGGTCGAATCAATGAATATCGGGTGCATACCGGGAGAAAAGTTTCCCGATATGTACCCGTTAGTCTGCCATAGATCCGCGG